CGAGAATTTATCACGATGGTTTCCAGGGGGAACCGCGTGGATGTCAACCTGACATGGTACATTACTAGTAATGGGGTCAACAGTCCACATTACTGACAATCCTCTTCCCTCCTATTCTGGGTGTTTAATATGTACATTGTGTATGTATTACAAACAATATATATTCAGTGGTCTAGAATTTAAAATACAAGCTCTTAGCTGCTTAGCTTGGGACTAGATGGCGCTTGTAATGAGTTTATTTGAATAAAGATTATTTCTATTTCTATTTCTATTTCTATTTCTGTGTGAATTGTCCAGGGTTATTATTGTTATATGCTGTTATAGGTTAAAGAAACAATTACATATTTCTGTGTTTAAAAAATAAATAATAATAAAAATAATAATAGATTCTGCCCGCAATGTACGCCGGCTTCTCTCCCTGGGGCCCTGAACCCCGGCCGACTGTGCTTCTGCCGGGGGTATGTTGCCATCTCCTCTCCTTAAGAGGGGAGATGAGATTTTTTTTGGAAGTTAGGAATAATAATAACTGAGAAAAAGAGAAAATATCTCGACCTGGCTCACGAGGTGACCGAAATGTGGGGGGTGATGTCCACCGAAATGATTCCAATCGTTATGTCGGTGAACGGTCTTATCTCAACCAGTCTGAAGCAACATCTCAGACGGTTGGGATTCCGAGGCGGCTCACTCCCGGGAAAGATGCAGAAAGCGGTGCTCTTAGATTCTGCCCGCATTGTACGCCGGCTTCTCTCCCTGGGGCCCTGAACCCCGGCCGACTGTGCTTCTGCCGGGGGTAAGTTGCCACCTCCTCTCCTTAAGAGGGGAGATGAGATTTTTTTTTAAGTTTAAGAAATAATAATAATAAATCAATTTATTACCAATATCAGTATAGGTATATAGTTACACATTTATACATATTTAATATGATTGGCAATAGGTACAAACTCAGCTATTGCTGTACTGATGCGCGTCCAGCGCTGGTTTTCAGTTTGTACCTACGCAGGCGTACCTAATCACACGTGCTAGATAACCATACCACAACATAATGAAATAAAAATTTAACAAATTAATACATAAATAATAATAATATCCATACGGATACACACGTGACATGCATGCAATGTTTGTGTATCTACACAAAAAAAACACATTTTATGTTGAGATTTGTCGCCGCTACCCAACGGCTGTCTCTGTCTATCTAATATAATTTTCCTTAAAGAATTTTTAAATTTTAGCGGTATTATAATAATAATGGCGTAATGTAAATAGTCTCTTATCGAAAAATTTAAATAGATAAATATAAAATGGCAGTAGTTAAAGACGACGCTACTTCTAAAGTTTAAGCTACAGGATACATAAAAAACGTAATAATATTGTAATTTTATGAAACAGCTACGTGTAAACATCGGCGTGTAGGTACATGTTATATACAAAAATATTTTTACGACGCAATAACAATAAATAAGGAGCTTTGAACTCGCCACTTGCAGAACAGACAAGCTGGGAGCGCGTAGGGACGCGGTCGTCATGAGCGGCCGCAGCTCGGGCGCGTGACCCGAGTCCCCCGCACCGGCGTCGTCCGCGCCGCGCCAGCTCCACCCGCTCCGCCCGCCGCCACGCTGGAGGCGCTACGGCGGCACTCGCGGCAGATAGCCGCGCGCCGCACCCGCCGCGTGCAGGTACTCTTTTTTTATTGATGATAACGGTACACACTGGCGAGGCACCAATGGAGCATGAAACGATGAATATGGAGTCAGGTCAGTTATGACAAATTCACCAGTAATCAATCATGGTTTCCAGATGGAACCGCGTGGATGTCAACCTGACGGTACAGGTTGCTAGCAATGGCGTCATCAGTCCACATTTTTAACAATCCCCGTGCAGGTACTTAAGCTGCCCCAAACACACAGACTCTGCTGTTACATCTGTACTTTTTTTTGGACTGCAGCTTCACCGGACATTAGGGGGCGAGAATTGGTACTTCAAACCCGCGGAAGGACTAATGAAGCATCTCAATTCCCGCCTGACGGATACGACTTTAGTCTGAGGGCACCGCTAAGGTTTCGTCCTCAATGAAGCAGTCTTCATTTCGATCCCCGTTTGAATTGGACTGGATATCAATTTGATGGGCACGTCTGTCCGATGAGGATATGAAGTACTAAAATCCCACAAGGGAAGCATACTCTAACTCCAAACTCTTGGCAAAATTTCCAGTCTGCTGATAGGTACAGTGTAACAAAGCTAATATGGGATACAGAGGGAAGAAGTAATTGAAGAAGATTAATGTGGACAGTTAACCCCGTTGCTAGCAATGTACCATGTCAGGTTAGTCTGCACATTCCTTCTGGAAATCGTCAAGATAAATTCCTGGTGAATTTGTCAGGATGAACTAACTGACCTGACATGCTCATTTTAACATCCTCCATAGGTGTTCTGCCAACGTAAACCACTAGCAAAGGGAGGTGCACCATTCCATAATCTTGCATTAAAAAATTCGCAAAGAGTGTATGCATGTTCTAACTTCAAATCCTTGAAATAACTTCCACCTAATAGGTTCAATGTAACATAGCTAATATTGAAAGTTTAGGAAAGATGGAGAAATTGGGCCTATTTCTCTGTATTGCTATGAATTGTGTCGAGTGTTTATGGTGTTTACGGTTTAATCTCTTCATGGTTGTCTTTGTTGCAGTTCACGGAGCGGACGCGGGATGGCGCGCGCAACGGCGACGGCGCCGGTAAGTGTATTAACGCATCCGCGTCTCTACCGTGCGCCACCTTCGCGAGCTAAATATATCCGACTATCCGCGATCCGCATTGCAACGTGAATCGTCACGCAGTTCGCAAAGATTGACGGACGAACCCGCCGATTGTTTACTTGCAAGTGTTCGGCGGCTGCGCTCGAGCAGCCCGCAGGGCGCGGCCGCCGGTAACACAGGTGTGTTCCGCGCAGACAGCGGCGGCTCCGAGATGTCCGGAGGCAGCGGCGGCGGCAGCGTCGACGTCGACGCGCGCCGCCCCTCCACCTGCCGCGTCGAGCTCGGCAACCTGCTGGCGCCCGAGCCGCGCCCACTCGACAACAAAGTTAAGGTATTATGTCCTTTCCCTTTCTTCTTGATTACGATATGCTTTACTTTTCGGTAACCTCGAATTACCGCCAGGCATATATTCTTTTAAATTTAAATAAGTTGACGAGCACCAGGTGGTAAGAGGTAACTATGGATTATGTTAAAGGAAGAGAAATTAATTGATTCAAGCGGCTGAATTATCATTGATATTTAGATTAGAAATAGAAATAGAAATAATCTTTATTCAAATAAACTCATTACAAGCACTTTTGAATAGTCATATTTTGATTCTACCACTCATTCGGAATGCAGATTCATCACAAGAAGAACGAGCAAGAAACTTGTGTGTTGCTCTTTTTAATTAGATTAGATGTTTGTCTGTATGTTAGATTATATAAAGAATGTTAGAACGCATTTAATTGTAAATTTATAATTTAACCAGTGAATGTGGTGACAGCATAGCTGTTCTGTTTTTGTGATATACACCACAGACATTTCATCATCATGTGACGCCCGTAGCACGCCTCCTGCGGTGTTGCTTCGAAGGACTATTTTTATGCCTATGTAGGATTTTTTGCCTCTGTAATTTCTAGTATAAAGAATTTACTTCTTATATGTTTAGGTAGCAGAGGATACTCCAGAATAGTGCCAATTTTAGTTGTAAAATGTGAAGGATGGACACCAAGGCGACGAGCAAAGAAACACCGGTATCGTCGTAAAATATTGTCTAATTGACTTATATCATATAAAAACAACACAATATTATAAAAACATATATAATAAAAAAGGTATAAAAAATGGTTCGCAACATAGTCCTATTTTAACTAAGTGATGTGTGGACAGCAGTTGAGTGAGCGTGTGTAGACGTTGAAATATTCGTGATGCTGAAGGTAGAGTTCAACCGATTCAAAGCTATACTCGCTGTATACTTACATGTGTCTGGTTTGTAAATATTTACATTAAAGTTCTATTTCACACAATCAATGAAATCGTGTGCGCGATGATCGGTAAATTTGCATATGGCATTCTTTTATTCTATTCTTTACGTAGAATCCTAGATCTTGTTAGATGATTAGGGGATATATATAGGTAGAGATAGATCTGTATTTTTGTAATCATGATCAAGCTCATTTGAGCTGAGTATCTTGTCAGTTTAGTCTCCTTAGCTCTCCGACACCCAGATCTTCAGGTAGATTTGACATATCATAAGAGTCTGTAATAGACCTACATGAAGAATGATATTATGATAGAACTTATTATAAAAGTGGTTGATATGTATCATTGTTTCAATTTCTTGTTCTTATTTTATGTTCCTATCTAAATTATCTAAACATGTTTAAGAAAACATACGCCATAATCACCAGCTCCAAAGGATAGCTAATTTCTTGCATACTAAGGTTGTAGGGTTAGAATGCGAAAGTATCTAGTCGATCAATTAGGTGGGAATGTTTTATTTATGCGATAAGGTGTAGACTCGAGTGCCAAAGTCGTTAGGGGATAGCAGATCTGCGAGGTGCCGTCGCGACCCATTTGCATAATGAGTGGTAGTGGGCGACGGGCGGAGGGCGGCTGCTGGCCGCAGGGCTCTCGTGGCGGCCGCGGCCCGCGCCCGCTCACTGTCCAGCTGACACCATTGCGTCTCGCACGCCGTCTGACATCCGACAAAAGATAGTAGATAGTGTACGCCGGTCACTATTGACCTACTTAGTTTTATTGCAAGGATTACCGAATTTTATTTAATCGTTCACATTCTCTGTATAACTATAGTTACGGGCTTCGTAAACATGTCATGTCAGTGATGTGTAAATATCCGCATATTTATGTGTCTATTTTCATATTTAAAGACGGGAAGATGAAATGAAGATGTTCTGTATCGTATATTGGGTATACTGTATATGGATGATCTGTAGTTAGAGGTATCCGAATTTTCTACAGCGTCACAGCATACATGGCATGACAGAGGAAGAAAATGTGGTGCGACCACATCAAGAGATGGCGGTGCTGTCGCTGGAGGAGAAGAAGTTCCTGCTGGGAGTGGAGCGGGGCGACGTGGCGGGCACGAGGCGCGTGGTGCAGCGCGCCCGGGACACTGGACACATCAACGTGGACTGCGTCGACCCGCTCGGGCGCTCCGCGCTGCTCATGGCCATCGACAACGAGAACCTGGAGATGGTCGAGCTACTGCTAGAGTTTGGGGTGGAGACGCGTGACGCCCTGCTGCACGCCATTTCTGAGGAGTTTGTGGAGGCGGTCGAGGCGTTGCTAGACCACGAGGAGCGGACACGCAAGCCCGGGGAACTTCACGTGAGTTTACATGATTTTTTCTTATAAAATGTGTCATACTTATTAAAGTCTGTGACATAACTAAGTATTGTCCAAGAACATAAGTTTATCGTTCATTATTTCGATTTAATAATTAGGATTAAGAAAGTCCCAAGTGTGATTATTACAACCTCTTTGTGTCAGCTATTGGTTGCTAGTTAGTGGAAATGTATTTCCGGATTCCATTTTGAGCCCATAAATTTAAATCAGAAAACTAAAATGAAGTTTGTTGAATATTTTTAATAGTCTTTTGTTTCAATTGTATAAATAACAAAATTACGTGCACACATCTCAGTGTTCGATTACGTGTTTCCTTAACATAATATTATTCTATAGTTGCTAATACTGCGCAATCACAAGTATAATATATATCTATAAATACATATAACTAGACACTTATCATTTTATTTTGCCCAATTTTCACTTATATGTTTTAAAAATGTATGTGATACTCTGATGTAAGATCTAAGCTTTATTATTGTAAAGTTACAGCAAAATTCGTTCAGTATTTTTTGCGTGAAAGAGTAAGAAACATCCATCTATCCATACTCGTAAACTTACGCGATTATAATATTAGTAAAAGTAAGATAAATTTGACATTTTGTGACGGTTGCAGAGTTGGGAGGCGTTACCACCGGAAACTGCAACGTTCACGGCGGATATAACGCCGCTGATCCTGGCCGCGCACCGCGACAGCTACGAGATCATAAAGCTGCTGCTGGACCGCGGCGCAGGGCTACCGGTGCCGCACGACGTGCGCTGCGGCTGCGACGAGTGCGTGCGCTCGCGCCGCGAGGACTCCCTCCGACACTCCCGCTCACGCATCAACGCCTACCGCGCCCTCGCCTCGCCCTCCCTCATCGCTCTCTCCTCCAAGGATCCCATCTTAACAGCCTTCGAACTCTCCTGGGAGCTGCGACGACTCTCCGCGCTCGAGCACGAGTTCAAAACCGAGTATCAGGAACTGCGTGCCCAGTGCCAGGAGTTCGCCACGGCGCTACTGGATCACACGCGCACCTCGCACGAGCTGCAGGTGCTGCTGAACCACGAGACCGGGTCGCCACAGGCGCCGCTCATAGAGCCCGGCGCGCCGGAACGGATGCGCTTGTCCAGATTGAAGTTGGCGATCAAATTAAGGCAAAAGAAGGTGAGAGGCAACTCGCAACGGATGGCAACTCAACAAACTTTGTTGGCTCGCTTCCCGTTCCCTGATTTGCCTAATGAATTCGTTTGTATACTGTATAATAATTTACTCGTTTGTTATTCACCCACTTTTAGCTACGTAAGTCAATTGAATTGTTCTCGACAAATGGTCGTTATGATGAAATTTAGAATTATAAAATTAGCAATAGAAATCTTGCATAACAACTACTTTAATAGTTTTGAATAAGTCAACATTTCACCACATTTTACGAAGTATTGTCTTGCCATTTATTGTGTATGCCAGTATTGTGTTACGACGACTTAACGCGTTGTTATTAACGCGTTGTTAATTTAACTTTATTCTTTTAATAAATAAAAGATTTTTCAAAAATAAAAGTAGCCTAAGTTACTCCTTATTGCATCAGCTACCTGCCAAAAAAAGTCCCGTTAAAATCGGTCCAACCATTTCTGAGATTAGCCGGAATAAACAGACAGACAGATAAAAATTGTAAAAAAAAATATTTTGGTCTATGTACTGTATTTATATTCATATGCATGTAGTAAAAACGGTTATATCAATATCACAAACAGACACTCCAATTTTTTTTTATATGTACCGTATTTATATGCATGTAGTAAAAAACATCTATTTCAATATTACAAACAGACACTCCAATTTTATTTATATGTTATAGATGATTCATATAGTCTATGATTTGCACCCCCAGTTCGTCGCGCACCCGAATGTCCAGCAACTGCTGGCGTCCATCTGGTACGAAAGCGTGCCTGGGTTCCGTCGCAAGAACATGCTGCTCCAGGCGGCCGAAATGGTCCGCATTGGAGCCATGTTCCCTCTGTACTCGATCGCATACATCGCCGCCCCGCACTCCGCCGCCGGGAGAACTCTGCGCAAACCTTTCATCAAGTTCCTCTGCCATTCCGCTAGCTACTTCATGTTTTTATGTAAGTAATATCATTTATGACTGTTTCTTAGCACATTTATATTTGGCTGCAAAGAATTCTTGGTAAAATTCATTACATATATTGCTTCTTTGTCATTGAAAGTTTCGTTATGATTTTGGGCCTATTCAATTTTATGTTTTTGCAGCAAATATAGGTAACTTAAAAGAGTCTCCTTGATCGTCATCGGCAATTGATTCTGTATTTACTTGGCCGTAATATAACGAATGCAGATTGCTTTCAGCGATAAGGCGGCCCGTTGTAACCTCAATTAGTTTTTATCTTTTTACACATAAGTGTGTATGTAACTCTACTTTTTGTGAGAGGAACAATAAAGAGTTTCATTCATTCATTCAATATAGCACCATAGCATAAAATATTCATCACATTTATTAGAATAGAATAGAATAGAATATCATTTATTCAAATAAACTTAATTTCAGCACTTTTGAATAGTCATAACAATGTTTTTTTTAATCTACCGTTTATTTGGAAAGCTGTCTCATCACAGTATTATTAGCGTAGTTTTGCAAGATTTTATCATAACGTTTATGTTTTTTTTAATTTCTTCCAGTTCTCCTAATACTGGCGTCGCAGCGTATAGAGACTGCTGCCGGCGGCCTGCTGTGGGGCACGTCTCCGGGGGTGCAGCAGCCCATGTCACGCCGGGGGGCACCACCGTCGCTCGTTGAGTGGCTCATACTCGCCTGGGTCAGCGGTAAGAGATACTGTTTGTTAGGGTATCTTCTTTAAAAATAATGAAAAGTGTAATCACTATAAAAATACAATGTCTTTATTTTGTAGCTTCAAATATGTGCTTCAAAATTGTCTTGTTCGTTCTACAGGGCTAATTTGGAGTGAAGTGAAACAGCTATGGGACATGGGACTGCGTGAGTATGTACACGACATGTGGAACGTTATAGACTTCGTTACAAACTCGCTGTACGTGGCCACCGTCGCCTTGCGAATCGTCTCACATTTTCAGGTACAGACACAACTATTATTTATATTATTAACCGGGTCTTAACACGAACACCAGGCACTAGCCGTGGGCACAACTTGATCCCAACGGCAGTATATCAGCAGGGTCCTATCGGGTTCAGTTCCGTCCCACGATTTTACACGCACACGACGCCATATTATTAACCAGGTTTTAACACCAGGTTGCACTAGTCATGGGCACAACTTGATCCCGATGACTCCATAACGGTAGTTAATCTCCTATCGGGTTCACCCGTTCCACAATTTTAAGCGCACACGACACCGTCCGCGCCGGCGAGCGGTCCAATTCAAATGGGGATCGAAATTACGATGGCCTGAATGGAAGTTCGAACTAGCGGTGCCCTCAGACTGAAGTCGTATCTGTCAGGCGGGAGTTGGCCTTCGGCTGCTCTATAAGTTTGGAGTGATATCTGCTCTCGACCCCTATCGAGCCTATCGCCATATCAATATATGTGTAATCCTTGTTATAGTATTTATATAGTATAAGTAGTTTAGCGTGGGAAGGCGTCCAGCAAGGTGGACCGACGATCTGGTCAAGATCGCTGGAAGCCATTGGATGCGAGCAGCGCAGGACCGATCTTCGTGGAGATCTTTGGGGGAGGCCTATGTCCAGCAGTGGACGTCTTCCGGGCTGCGATGATGAAGTAGTTTAATAACATAATTCATCACATTATTTACAGTTTATTCATACTTTATATATTTTGATAAAGAGCTCGAAGTTTAATATTTAAGTAATTTTTTAGTAATAAGTATAGTATAAGTAAGGAGCCAACAGAATATCAGCGCTGCAGAGTTATCTGTAGCATTATGCTGAGTTGGCTACCTTTTCACTTTCGCTGCACATAAAGTCACCTACATTTCTTTTATTAATTCTTGTTTATTCTGTATCTCATGTATGTTATGTGTCTGTAATTGTGAATAAAGAATTTATCTATCTATCTATATATCTATCGTCCGTAGAAGATGTAAAAACTATCTGCAGCCAAAAGTATTAGAGTAGTAAAAAAAACGAGTTATAGTAAACTTTATATGCATAGGTTCGGCGTGAAATGGCGCAGGGGCTTCAGTGGAACCAACCCCGCGAGAATTGGGACGCGTGGGACCCGATGCTGCTGTCCGAGGGTCTGTTCTCAGCGGCCAATATATTCAGCAGCCTTAAACTGGTGTACATCTTCAGCGTGAACCCGCACCTTGGACCGCTACAAGTTTCACTAAGTCGCATGGTGCTCGATATATTGAAGTTCTTCGTGCTGGATATACTTGTTATCTTTGCTTTTTCATGTGGTAAGTTATACTTTATTTGATTTGACTTTGACGACCTCGGTGGTCTAGCAGGTTAGCACACGGCTATACCTCCGATAGTCGCGAGTTCGATTCCTCGCACGGTGCAAACATTTGTATTCATGAGTATGATTGTTTGTAACGGTCAGAGTGTTTTCTATATTCGCCTTCGTCCGCGTGGAATTTAACTTTATTTTTTAAAATAAAAGTAGCCTAAGTTACTCCTTATTACATCAGCTACGTGTCAAATAACATCCCGTCAAAATCGGTCCAGCCATTTCAGATATTAGCCGGAACAAACAGACAGACAGACAAAAATTGTAAAAAATGTTATTTTGGCTATGTACCGTATTTATATTCATATGCATGTAGTAAAAACGGTTATATCAATATCACAAACAGACACTCCAATTTTTTTTTATATGTATAGGTGGATTTACAAAATTTATATATATCAGTAAAAAAAGTATCCATTGTCTAGTACCCATAACACAATGTCTGCTTACCATGGGACTAGATGACGCTGTTATAATTGTTCAGGTTTATTTATAATTATTTATTTAATGACTCTAAACTTCCGTAACCTTTGAAATTTAGGTGCAATTATGTTATCTGTGGTGCAATACATTCTCTTCATAAGGGAATACAGCTTTTAAAGAAAACAGCGTTGATACAAAATTAGATAAAATAATCTTATATATAAAATTCTCGTGTCACAGTTTTCGTTCGCATACTTCTCCGAAACGGCTTGACCGATTCTCATGAAATTTTGTGAGCGTATTGAGTAGGTCTGAGAATCGGCCAACATCTATTTTCATCCCCCTAAATGTTATGGGTAGTCCAACCCATATTTTTTTTTATTTTAAGGCAAAACACCGTTTGCCGGCACAGCTATCTATCTATCTTATATATAAAATTCTCGTGTCACAATGTTAGTTACCATACTCCTCCGAAACGTCTTGACCGATTTTTATAAAATTTTATATGCATATCAGTAGATCTGAGAATCGGCTAATCTATTTTTCATACCCCTAAGTGATAAGGGTTGCCCACCCCTAACATTATTTTTTTATTTTATTATGTGTCATTAAAAAATACATACAACCTTAAATTTTCATCCTTCTAGCATGAGCCCCAATTTTTTAAATGAGATTTTAATTTATATGGCAAAACACCGTTTGTGGGGTCAGCGAGTTATTTATATATAGTTAGATAAGGCATATAATTATTGATCTCATTGTTTTTTCAGGATTAAATCAACTACTATGGTACTACGCGGACATGGAGAAGAAACGGTGCAGTACCGGCAACTCGTCTTTAACTCCCAACGGGACCCTGCCAGACCCGGACGCATGTATTGTATGGCGCCGTTTTGCTAAGTAAGCCAAAAAATTTTATATATAAGAGAGTAGCTAATCAACTGAGACCTGACAATAGCCCAAACAAAACAATAAAAAAAATATGTACCTATACCAAATTTAATTTAAATCGGTGCAGTAGTTTTCGAGTAAAAGCGAGACAGACAGACAGAGTTACTTTCGCATTTATAATATTACTAAGCATTAATGGGAATGATAATATAATAATAATAATAATAATCTCAGGACAATTTATACAGCGCCATCTAGTCCCAAGTTAAGCTAGCTAAAGCTTATGTTATGGGTTCTAGACAACTGATACATATATACATAGATAAAATTATAAAATATTGTGACAAAGATAAATAAACTCAGAACAATTCACACAGCACCATCTAGACCCAAGTTAAATTAGCTAGTTTGTGTTATGGGTACTAGATAACTGATACAAATACATCGTTTTTTTTGTAAATACATACATATTATACATAGAAAACTCTCAGATCGATACAAACAATCATACTCATGAATACAATTGTTTGTGCCGTGCGAGGAATCGAACCCGCGACCATAGGTCGTAAAGCGGTGTACTAGACCGCTAGACCACCGGGGTCGTCAAATATGTTTAAATCTTTGAAGTACTGTGTAAATAATAAGATGTTGCTGGTCGAGACGATGTATATTACAGATGATGATAAACTGACAATATGTACATAGAAATAATGATCTTATATACTAAATAACAATAGGAAAATGTAAGGTGGGGTGACACAGTTTACACACAGCAGTGCTTAGTAGACAATATTGAATTTGTCTTACTAGACATTATTAAATGCAATTATTATTTTGATGTGTCTAGGTGACTGTGTCCCATATACTACTACTCTTCTCTAATATTCTCTCTCTCAATCTTCTGTTCTGTTTCCATAAGATCATTTAACTTTACAGCTTGTTCGAGACGATGCAGACGTTATTTTGGGCGGCGTTCGGTTTGATCGACCTGGACTCGTTCGAACTGGACGGCATCAAGATCTTCACGAGGTTCTGGGGCATGCTGATGTTCGGCACCTACGAGGTGATCAACGTGATCGTGCTGCTCAACCTGCTCATCGCCATGATGAATCACTCCTACCAATTAATATCTGTGAGTTTGGATATTTATTAATTGTAAAAATATTTTACAAACAGAAATACACACAGACCGATACAAATAATGATCATAAATCTAAATATATATAACTCAAAGCTAACTTTGGATATTTATTAATTGTAAAAACATTTCACAAACAGAAATACACCCAGACCGATACAAATAATGATCATAAATCTAAATATATATAACTCAAAGGTTGACTGACATAGTGATCTATCAACGCACAGCCCAAACCACTAGACGGATTGGGCTGAAATTTGGCATGCAGGTAGATGTTATGACGTAGGCATCCGCTAAAAAAGGATTTTGATTAATTCTACCCCCAAAGGGATAAAATAGGGGATGAAAGTTTGTATGAAACTTTCACAATTTTAAACCGATCGGGCTGAGACTTTGCATGCATAAAGCTACTATGACGTAGGCATCCCCTAAGAAAGGATTTTGATAAATTCCACCACTAAGGGGATAAATTACCGCGAGCGAAGCCGTGGACAAAAGCTAGTGAAATATATACATAAATAACAAAAAACACCCTGATCGATACAGACAGACATCTCCATGAATAGAAATGTTTGTACCGTGCGTGAAATCGAATCCATGACCATCGGAAGGAGTGTACCTTGGTCCAATTATCCTTCATGATGGTGGACAGCATATTAGTCGGGAACTCGAGCAATTTCTTGATTAGATGTTGAGTTTCTTATACATTTTGGCAAGTTCAAATTCAAATTCAAAATATCTTTATTCATGTATGTCTATTACAGACTCTTATGATATGTCAAATCTACCGTCAGTTCGGAATGATTTCGATATGAGAACAACTGACAAGAAACTCAGCTCGTAGTCTTCATTAAAAGTCGCTGTCGCTGTCTCTCCGTCCCTATGTATGCTTAAATCTTTAAAACTACGCTACAGATTTTGATGCGGTTTTTTTTCGTAAATAAAGTGTTTCTAGAGGAAGGTTTAAGGCGAGTAACTTGTTTCAGATAAATGCTACACATGTTTACAATAATACAGATTCATTTTTAAGTTCAAATTTGGGAGAGTAGAGTGTTCGTAGCAGACCAGTACTCGCAAGCAGCACCCGTTCATGGTATGACGGATGAGCCAGCCATCATTGCATTCAACCATATTAGAGGGACCACATTGACCCACATTTTATTTTTACACATGTGTTGTGTGTAGGAACGCGCCGACGTGGAGTGGAAGTTTGCTCGCAGCAAGTTATGGATCAGCTACTTCGAGGAGGGGGGCACGGCGCCGCCACCCTTCAATGTGATACCCTCACCCAAGTCGCTGGTGTATGCGTGGCGCTGGCTGCAGCGGAGGCTGTGCGGCCACGCGCGAGCCAAGCGCGAACACATGCGCACTATACGGGTATGTACCACCGTCGATGGTGCTCTCATGGACAACTACTTGGTCTAATTTAAATTCAAAAAACTTTTATTCGTGTAGGACATTTTAGCCGCTTATGGACGTCAAATTTTTTATATTATATTTTTTTCCCTACCGTCCAGTTCGGTATATAGATCCAATTGAGAAGAACTGGCAAGAAACTCAATTGAATTACTTGTTTTTATAAGTCAGTTTATTTACAATGTATTTATATGTGTCTACTAGCTGTTCCCGCGACTTCGTCCGCGTGGAATTTATTTTTATAAATTTTTTTCTACAATAAAAAAAATCTAAACTAAAAGTAGCCAAGTTACTCCTTATTACATCAGCTACTTGCCAAAAAAAGTCCCATCAAAATCGACAGATAGACAGACAGAAATTGTAAAAAATATTATTTTGGTGTATGTGCCGTATTTATATTCATAGGCATAAAGTAGTAAAAAACGGTTATTTTCATATTACAAACAGACACTCCAATTTTATTTATATGTGTAGATGAAATTTTTGTTTTTAAATTACTTAATATTCCATCGTTCTGATTTCAGAGGAAAGCTAAGCAAGCCAATGAAAGGGATTTCCGCTATCAGGTAACACAAATTTAGTAGTATTTACTGTTATATATGTTGTATATACTCGTATTTTTATAAATTAAAAACAAATAACTACACACTCGAAGTTTTTTACCTTTAAAAAAATTAAGTAAATATATTATAATATAATTACATCTAAATATAAGTACTTTTGAAACAAATCATACTATATATACATACACTGCTGGACATAGGCCTCTCCCAAGGCACGCCACTGGGCAATAATAAAATAAAAATATAATATAATAACTAAAATATATTATTAAAAGGAGTCCCTTTAGGTAAGGTTCCGAAGATATTTTTTTTATTATATTCTCTCTCTCACACACACACACATACATATGCGCTATACTTAGTAATAATATGTAATATTAACTGTACTCGCGACTTCGTCCGCGTGTAGTATAACTTTATTTTTCTAAAATAAAAGTAGCCTAAATTACTCCTTATTACATCAGTTACCTGCTAAAAAAAAGTCCCGTTAAAATCAGTCCAGCCATTTCAGAGATTACCCGGAACAGACAGACAGACAAAAATTGTAAAAAATGTTATTTTGGTATACGTACCGTATTTATATTCGTATGCATGTAGTAAAAAACGGTTATTTCAATATTACAGACACTCCAATTTTATTTATATGTATAGATTGTGTTATCTGTGGTAATAACCAATGGTCGTTGAATCGTTGCAGGCGATAATGCGCAATCTGGTCCGGCGGTACGTGACGGTGCAGCAGCGGCGGGCCGAGTGCGGCGGCGTCACCGAGGATGACGTCAACGAGATCAAGCAGGACGTGAGCGCGTTCCGCTGCGAGCTGGTCGAGATCCTGCGCAACTCCGGCATGAACACATCTACCGCCAACGCCGGTGCGCCCGGTAACTAACTAACACACTCTGTCCAACTAAAACACATGTTATAACTACACCAGAGGGGGGGGAAATGGGATTGTTAGTAATGTGGACAAATGAACCTATTACTAGCAATGTACCATGTCAGGTTGACCTCCACGCGGTTCCCCCTGGAAACCATCGTGTTAAATTCCTGGTGAATTTGTCACGATGGGCTAACTGACCTGACCTCATGCTCATATTATCACCCTCCACTGGTGCCCCGCCAGCGTAAACCGTTAGCGCAGGCGGATGCACCATTCCATTATCACATACAAAAAAAAAAAACTACACCAGAGGTTCCCGAACTTATTTTGTCCACCCACTTTGGGAAAACATATTTTTAGCGCCGCATTTTCTCACCTACTTAAAAATTATTATTACTTCAAATTAAATTAATCAATTATTGTAAGTTACATTAGCGAAGATTAAACATTAATTCTAAACGATAATTTTCTCTTACCCTTAAGGCCCGCTGTGCCCACAAGTGGGCGTCCACTTTGGGAAAGGCTACACGCAGGACAATTCAAAAAATTCAAAATTCAAAATTCAAAAATCATTTATTCATGTAGGACATTTTAGCCGCTATGAACGTCAAATTTTTACATTATAATTTAATTTTTTCCCTACCGTCCAGTTCGGTATATAGATCCAATTGAGAAGAACTGGCAAGAAACTCAATTGAATTACTTTTTTTTTTTAAAGCCAGTTTATTTACAATGTATTTTTATATAGGTGTCTATGTCTAACATTAAATGAAAATTCAGTGCATGAACAACTATTGTCATGCACACTCGTCATTCAAGTAATCGTTTAGTGAGTAATAGGCTTTGCTCAGTAAATATGATTTAACATATGTTTTGAATTTATTTAAGGGTAATTCCAACATATCATTTGGTATCTTATTGTAAATTTTTATACCTATTCCCATAAAAGACCTATTAACTTTTTCTAAACGATACTTGGGGACAGCAAGTTTGTCTTTAAATCTAGTATTAATATTATGAATATCGCTGTTTTTGGAAATAATATAATATATAATTCGATGTCTCGTAGTCTAAATAATGATGTTATATTTTTTCTAATACGCACTTCATAATATTCTTAATCATTTATTTTTACGTTGAAAAGCGTAATAGAGTTTTAAATACAGACCACATGGTGTCCATAAAGTTGTACTTTAGACTATCATTACATAGTATAAAACAAAGTCACTGTAGGTCTGTCTGTCCGTCCCTATGTTTGCTTAAATCATTAAAACAATGCACCGGATTTTGAAGCGGTAGTTTTAAATACATAGAGTGATTCTAGAGGAAGGTTTATATACATATACATACATGAATACCCATGCGAGGCCGGGGCGATTAGCTAGTTCTATAAATAAAGTACTACAATATTCTATAATAGAATAGAAAAATCTTTATTAAAATAAACTTACATTTAAGTACTTTTGAAAAGACATTATTTATTTTTTTATTTCACTCACTTATTCGGAAAGCAGTCTCGTCACAATAAAACGGGCAAGAATTAGCGAGTTGCTCTTTTAAACAATTTAGTTGTAGCCAGGAACGGATCTACCTAGGGGCTTTATGGGCTGCAGCCGAGGGCCCCGTGGATATAAAGGGCCCTTAGCCCCCACTGAAAACAAAAATCTATAATATTAGAACAGAATAGAATAGAAAATCATTTATTCAAATAAACTTAATTTAAGCACTTTTGAATAGTCATAACAATTTTTTTAATCTACCGCTCGTTCGGAAAGCTGTCTCATCACAAGACGAACGAGCAAGAAACTTGTGTGCTGCTCTTTTAAATAATCCTTGTAAGTTTACGTTTACAAGTCGAAACGTGTCATAAGATTGACAACCCTGAGATTAATCAACTTATGGATGTGCGCGTTTATCGAACGGAACTGAAAAGGCCTCTAAATTTTAGCCCAGGGCTCCACAAATTGACGATCCGCCCCTGGTTGTAGTTGTAACTTTATATTTTTAAGTTGTAATGTGTAAGTACAAACTACCAACTGAGACTATATCATTAATATGCAAACAACTGGTTGAGTAACTAAATAAGAGCAAATCACTCGTAGTGATAGTTGAAACGATGAGTTTACGTTTTTTAATGTATGATAATGGAATGCCACTTGCGCTATCTGTTTTCGCTGGTGGGGTTTTTTTATTAATTTTGGTACAAACAGTCATTACAGTTGTAATTACAAGTATATGTATATACGTAGTATTATATTAATAAGTATATATGTATATATATATATTATTGGGTTGACCAGTGAAGGATGTTAAAATGAGCATGAACTTAGTTCAGTTAGCTCATCTTGGGAAATTGCATATTACCACGAAAGCTAGCAATGTACTATATGTTATTCTGATGATGAAGCTCAAGCTATACCTGTAAAATTTCATCAAAATCCGTTCAGTAGTTTTTCCGTGAAAGAGTAACAAACATCCATCCATACTCATAAACTTTCGTGTTTATAATATTATTTATAAAATCCCCTTCTTGTAACTTTACGTTTTCGGCTGGCAGGTGGCGGTGGCGGCAAGAAGAACCGTCAGAAGGAACGGCGGCTGATGAAGGGGTTCAACATAGCGGCGGGCGGGTCGCTGGCGCCGGTGGACGAGTTCTTCGCGTCGCTGCAGCACGAGCACGCGGCGCACGCGCACCACGCGTCGCTGTCGGCGCTGCTGGGCGGGCGGCTGCGCGCCAGCCAGTCCAGCCTGTCCGACGCCGCGCCGCCCGCCCCCGCGCCCGCCTCCGCCCCCGCCGCCGCGCGCCGCAAGCCTCCACACAAGCGCCGCTGGGGCACCATCATCGAGGCGGCGCGCGCCGCTCGAGTCTCGCGCCTCATCGGCCGCTCGCGCTCCGAGGACTCCGTCTGCGACCACGCGCGCGCCTCGCCCAGGTATCCGACGACGGCCCGAACCGAGGTTCGAATATCTAGCGGTGCCCTCAGACTAGAGGCGTATCCGTCAGCCGGGAGTTGGCTGCTCCATAAGTCCTTCCGCGGGTTTGGAATGCCACCTGCACTCCCTATAGTCCGGTGAAGCTGTAAAAGACAGCTGCGTCCAACAACATTAGAGTAGTCCGAAAAAAAACCAGGTACCCTTAATGGATGATAATGGAATGGTGCACTCGCCTACGCTAATGGTTTACACTGGCAAGGCACCAGTGGAATCTCTGGTATCGGCTGAAACGATAGTGAACAAAACTGACTTACTTATTAAGTGTCCGGCAGCCACAACGTTGGGTCTTATACCAGCATACGTTGCTTATCAGATTACTTTTACCCTCGTAATGTAACTAGCGATCTCTATTGACGGAACTGTGACTGTGCAGCGGCAGCGAGCGGTCGGAGTCCGGCAGCGACTCGCAGCGCAGCCCCGAGCGGACGCGTGCGGGCCCGCTGCACCCGCTGTCCGCCCTGGCTGCTCTAAAGCGGAAGCGCAAGAAGTTCTCCGACTCGAGACGCGCGGCTGCCGAGCAGCGCGGGCCCGCGGCTGCAGCCGAAGCCCTACAGCGTGCCAGCTCAGTGCCCGCACGCGCTCCACCCGCCGCGCTTCCTGTGCCCGCCCCTGCGCCCGCACCGCCCACCCTCCGTGCTGCACCCCCGCCCGCCGCAGCTCGTGGTGGCAGTCGCGAGCCGCTGCTGGCCAGTCTCGACGACGACGCCCATAAGGTGTGTGCGACCACTAGTCCAAGAAAATTTTGATTTAATCCATAATCATCAAAATTCACACTTAATCAAATATCGAGAGTTTATTAAGTGCTGCTTAATTGCTCTTAAATAAACACTGCGCCGTGGATCTTGCGTTACACGGCGCGTAGAATCGTGTAATTCAAGAAAAATTTAATTTAAACCATGATGTTACCAGTTTTGGCGCAATTAATTTTAATTAAAAAAATTAACAAAAAAATAAATTTTCATTGTCAGTCCATGTGGCCAAAAACAATCTAAATGGTTATTAACATTAGATTATGAACAAACAGAATTCTTGATACGGTAATTCTATGGGCGTTTCTAGACTATCAACAATTTCACAAGACACACCAGGCCTTACACTCACACACACACACTTTCCTACGATTACACTAACCTACTTAAATTGTAAAATATCCTAACAAATTCACTTAAAGTATACCTCAATATAGAAGAGGACACTGACTTCTGAATCACAGGTGTTTTCTATACCTACCAGAAGTCAGGGACTTCCTAAATTATTTGTAAAAAATATGTGAAATAAATAAATTGTTATTAAAAAAAAAGTGTAGAAAATGGAACAACTTATGTTGTGTCTGGATATTGCAGGAGACGTGCGGCCAGTGCGGTTGCGAGGCAGGGTCCGGAGCGAGCGCGGGCGAGCGGACGGGGTCGAGTGCGAGCGGCGGGGCGGGCGGCGGTGCGGAGGGCGGGTCGGCTGCGGGCGCGGGCGGCGGGGTGACGTGCGGGCGGTGCGCGGCGCTGGCGCGGCTGGCGGGGGTGACCCCGCTGCACGGCCACGCGCCGCACCACTCCGCCGGCTGGTTGTAGCGCTGGAAGCGCTCGCGGTAACCCCGCCTCACCCACGTACCACGTGCGATCCAGTGACGTATCTAACTTGCTTAAAACGTTTCTTTGTACACGGGAGTTTAAGTTCCTTACCATACAATGAAGTTTCGTGCCTAATTTTGACAGTAAAATAAGGGTGACAAGAACGCGACGTTCATTCCACAGTGGTTCAGTTGTTTTATATTGGCATATAATGTTGCATGTAATTGGTTTTTCTGTTACGTAAATAAGAGTTACGGATATTTAGTCATGTGTACCGAAGGTATGAAGTAATAATAATTGCCTATATACCACGTAGGTATTTAATTCACACATGTGTAATTGTCTGTATTGGTAACTAGCGTACATGTATACATGTCTGTCTGTATACGCACGGATACCTACATAATATATTATACAATTTATATATATATACACAAAACAAAAGATATTTATACAAAATAAAAATTATATATATTAGTTTAAAATTTAAGTAGATAATTTATCCGCTACCACTTATCATAGTTTATGATATATTGCAATTATTTATTACTCACTATTATTAGGGCTAATTCACAAAACATCGCAGCTTATAGTAAGCTTTGGGATGAACTGATTCGACTCTGACAATAATAGATGAACAGCCACGCAACACCGTCACCACACGATCTGAGGAATTGTTCGGATTAATACCAGCTGCTGAGTTTCACCACCGTACCACCCGCCAGACACTAAAATACCATCCTGATCATTTGGATGAATGGCGGTCCTTCACAGTGCGGTTTTCTAGAAACTTTTTGCCACGCACAACCACATTGCGGAATCACCTTTCAGCAATGGTATTTCCGAATCGATACGATATTGAAATCTTCAAGAAAAGAGCTTATATCTTTTTAAAAAGCTGACAACGCACTGCAATTCCCCTGGTGCTGCGGGTGCTCTTGGGCGCCGGTAATCACTTACCATCAGGTGAGCTGCTTGCACGTTTGTCCCCTGTGCTATAAAAAAAAATCATGAAGCGACATATAAAACAAAGAAATCACTGGCCAGTGTTTTTATTTTACACATACTCGAGCTCTTTTAAGCCCAATTTACACTCAGCCCGAGTGGGCAGGGAAATGAGCATCGCGAGAGTGTAAACACGATACTTCCCATGCTATTGGCGCTGCCACTCGCGCTGTCCGGCGCTCCCTCGATTGTCGGTTTCTCGTGCGCGAGTCAAAGGACTGGCAGCGCGAGTGGCCGCGTGTTTTTACATTCAGCCCTCTCGCTCAGTTGTCGCCCGGTAATATTTTCGGCAGCGCGAGTGGCAGGGGAAGCGGCTGAATGTAAACGTAACATTATACCCTTCTCTCTCGTATTGAGTTACGCCCAACCCATAGTAATAATGATGTTTTGTGAAAGATCCCTAATAGATTCAAAAATCCACCACAATAACACCATCACTACAATTTTAAGGAAATATCACTACATGTCGTTATATTTAGTCTTCATGAGCTTTGTGTAGCGTACTTGAGATGATAACAATCAGGGATGTTATGGATATGAAATTTCGGATGCGGATAGGTTTCGGATATAGGAATGATTATTATACCGGATACGGATACGGATGCGGATATGAAATTATTTCGGATCATCTGTTAGTTTCGGATAATTTCGGTTTCAGATATTAATTTTTAAATGAATTTCAAAGTAAAATACATATAGCTAATAAAATTACATACGATATTATCCGAAACTTTTATTTCGGATACGGTTACGATATAATATTTTTTATATCGGATGTCCTATAGTTTCGGTTACGGTTCCGGAACACCCTAACATCCCTGATAACAATAATACGATTAATTACAATCAATCTTATATTAAACGGTCCAGTCTTTTTACGATTTGATATAATGTAATTCAATTCTAAGATATCTTTAAACTAACCAAGCTATTTTTTTTTTTATTTTTATTGGATTGTTTGGGCTATTGTCAGATGTGTAGCACCTGTAGCAGTGCGACCTACATAGATCTATTGTGCTCGCCCTTTTCAGAGTTCGCTACCTAGACCCGTCAGGGACAAGAATTGAAGGATATTCTTAGGAGCGATCGTTTTTATCTCCTCGGGAAAGAGTGTAAATTTTCCAAAGGAGATATTTCGTTTATGCATGAGTGGGCTACAACCACATAGGATGTGAAGCGGCGTTTCCTCTTCAGTTTGGCAGAATCTGCAGATAAAAAAAAAATAACCAAGCTAAGATGGAAATTGTATATTAAGATTTGGGAGTCCAAGAACAGGTTTTTTTTATGTTTAACGGTCTTTTTACGATTTGATATAATTTAATTCAATTCTAAGATATCTTTAAACTAACCAAGCTAAGAATCTTAATATAAATTATATTAAGATTTGGGAGTCCAAGAACGGGGATTTAATAATAATTTTACTTTGTATAACCCGCCGTTGTAACTAGGGTTGCTATCTTTTTTTGCAGTTAAAGTATTTAGCGGCTATTATTTGTGTATTAATGTGTTCTTTGTAGCAGCAGGAAAGGAGGAGGTGAAATGATGAGTCCAGATTGTGATTATAATATAGAAGTATTTACAATTGATATCTATATAGGTCTCCTCTCTTCTTCTTTATCCAACCCATGTTCCCAGTTTATCTGGGGTCTGGTCACCCTGTACATCTGCGCCAGAGAACTCTGTTCTGGATTGTCTGTATATTAAGGTTGTCCTGGTCCATCAGTTTCTTAAAATTATTCCACCAAGTGGCGCGTGCTTACCTTTGATCGAGTTTGGGTTTACAATTGATATATAGGTATGTACAAGAAAGTGTTTCGGTATCGAATGACGGGGTTGATATTTTATTATTCACTCGTAACTATTTTTTTTATTAAATATTTTACGGCCCTGGAAATATCCTTTCAGCCAAACAATTACATTTTATAAATACAAATCAGCAATTTTTTTTATGGATGATAATGATATGGTGCACCCGCCTGCGCTAACGGTTTACGCTGGCGGGGCACCAGTGGAGGATGATAAGATGAACATGAAGTCAGGTCAGTTAGTCCATCGTCACAAATTCACCAAGAATTTATGACTATGATTTCCAGGGGGAAGTACAACTACATAGTATCAAAATAAAGTACAATTTATTTTTCTTTATTATTATATTTAAAATAATATTTTTTATTGCTTTTTGCAGTCAAGGAAAGAATCGAATCATGCGAAATAAAGTATTTTCGTGTTTGTATGTATTATTCCTATAAAGTATAGAGTACAATTACCTGAATTACGTACAATACTTTATTATAAAGAAGGGGGGCAACCCTAGTTGTAACTGTACCGATAATATTATATTATGCTCTTATAGCTGGAGGCCTATTAAATTTGGCGGGGTTATGCAAAGTAAAATTTATAATAATGAATGTAAAGCGGCATTATTAGTAACTCCTTATACATTACTGTATCAAGTAATTATATAATTTAAAATATAAAATTCTCGCGTCGCAGTGTCTGTTACCAAACTCCTCCGAAACGACTTTACCGATTTTTATGAAATTTTGTATGAATATCAGGAAGGTCTGAGAATCGGCTAACATTTATTCTTCATACCCCTCAATGATAACCCAGTGATAAGGATGACCCACCAAACATATTTTTTATTTGAGATATTTTTTAATTATTATAATTTGGCAATAAAAAATACATACAACCCTAAATTTTCACCCTTCTACCAACCTCTATTTTTAATAGCAATATAAGTACTTAAATTTATTTGGCAAAACGTTTGCCGGGACAGCAATTAACATATATTAGTCGTGAGACAACGCACCTAGTCAACCAACAACGCTACACCATGTGCGCAGTAGCATGGCATGCGGGTGACAGTTTCATTAGCCCTTTCAGACCTGAATTAGTTTCATCCAATAGATTTGTTAAATTCCATGTGTCTAATGTATAATAAAGGGACTATAAAAAAATATAAAAAAAATTGCCTTAAATTTTTCAAAACAAATTGGTAGTACTAAATAGAGTAGTTTATAATTGAACAAATGAATATAGACGTTTCCAATCGGAAATTATAAAATTGTTTTACATTACATCTTATGTCTACAATTTTGCATGCCAGTTTTAAAAGGGTTAACGTTTCGTTTCACTCTTAAAAGTTACCACAATTAACAAACTATGACTTAGTATTTCAGCTGTACCACTTTCGGAATATATTAAATCATTAATGACTTAAATTTTGAACCTAAGTGGTCTCGGACAGTGCGGTTTCAGAGGAGCTTCCTTCCCCGTACATTTAGATTGTGGAATGAACTTCCTGCCGAGGTTTTCTCACTAGACTACAGCATGGGGTTTATCAAGAAGAGTGTTAAGGTTTCTTAAGGGTCGGCAACGCGCACGTGACACTCCTGTTGTTTCAGGCGTCCATAGGCTACGGTAACCATTTATCATCAGATGGGCCGTATGCTTGTTTGCCACTATAGCAGTATAAAAATATGTAAAATTAGTAGCTGTCACCAGCACCATGCTACAACACACACAGTAGAGACGCCATTTTGATTGGACAGGTGCTTTGTATCAGCGTTTAGTCAAATTATTGTAATAATTTATGTATAATGTGTTATATAATAGCACATATATTAGATAGTTAATTGATAGTGAATGAAATATATTAAATTTTAATTATAATATCAATGCGAAGCTATAGCAGAGCAGTCATTATATCAGTAAACATAGTGCCTACCAATTACAGTAAGTTAGAAGGAAGAATTACTATCGCACGCCTCCAACGGTTTTAATCAGGGATGTTATGGATATGAAATTTCGGATACGGATAGGTTTCGGATATCGGAATGATTATTATACCGGATACGGATACGGATGCGGATATGAAATTATTTCGGAGCATCCGTTAGTTTCGGATAATTTCGGTTACGGATATACATTTTTTAAGGACTTTCAAAAGTAAAATAGAAATAACTAATAAAATGGTTACATAACGTGTC